TCACATGTTCGGTGTCTTATAAGGACTTTACATTATAAATAGTACGCGAATCTGCTTAACCGTATTCATTTAAATTAAATAGGTCCTATTTGGAACATGGTCCGATTTAGACCACTCACCTCTATTTAACGGAATTTTTTGTATTAATTAATCTTGATGTATGAAGCTGTTTTCGATGAATAATTTTCTGTAATTATAATACCTCTTCGTGCGTGTTATATTCTTCCTAATTGAATTATATCGAATTTTGACTTGACTTTTTAGGCGCGTATGGAGGTGGACGATCTATTCACCGATCTGGCAGATGGCAAGAAACTACTGAAACTATTGGAGATCATCTCTGGCGAGCGATTGGCCAAGCCCAACAACGGGCGCATGCGAGTTCACAAAATCGAGAACGTGAACAAATCCCTGGCGTTCCTTCATACCAAGGTAATACATATTCCCGAGAGCATGACTTGTCTTCTTCTTTCTCCTTCTCTTTCTCCATCTCGTTCTTTCGGGGTCTCGAATGTGTGTTTCTCCGGACGTTGCTCACTCTCGAAAAACCTCTCGAGTGCGGACCATCAACTGCGCGGTCCAGCGTGGTTGCACGTGTTCAGCGCGCGAACAACTTTGTTCGGCGAGGAATAAATAAAGGCCTCGAAAAAGCTTCCAAGTCGAGTGCCGGATAAATTAGCGAGGCAACAAGCAGGTCCGTTAAGTCACGCTCGTAATTTCTCTGTTGAACCATAGATCGCCGAAACGTACATTTCGATGCAAATGTACTAAAGATAAATACACAATATTAAATTAATCCCAGACTTACTATGCAATTTAAATGTGTACGGTTGTGAAAATAATAGATGTAAGATCTCAGTATTGCGGTATTAAATATCGAAGTCGTCGTAATGATAAGAATAGATTTATCGATGACTTGCATACACCGTAATCAAGTATCACCGTATTAACGCAAACAATCATTCGGATGATTAATCTGACAGCATTCCAGCCGTTATTTCCTATGAGTCTAGTAGCCCACACGCGCATCAGTGCGCACTGTCTATCGACGAAGCCAAAGAAATTCTACAGTCTAGATCTGACAGATTAGAGACCCACAATCGTTGCGGCCGAGTTCGCGGACAAGGCGGTTGAAGAAATATGATGTGCGACGCGTCGCTTCCGGTAACACGAGGATCGGGGCCACCGCGTGATTCCTGTTGGTCTCTTTGGAACCGACAAGCCCCCGATACAAACGCCGACGCATCACCGTGCCTGGTCAATGCCTTCGCCCGTGCTCGTCTTACGTTGTGGCTTCGAGTTTTATACCGTTTCTGTCTCGTTCAGTTCCGCGGGCTCCTTCTTGGCGTATACGCGCCGCACGTAGTGAAACTATTATGTCATAAGCCACGGAAGCATAAGAGGCCATTCACGAGGAGTTTACACTTACCGGGCTTCGTTGCGACGCACCGGTGCCTACCAAAGCGAGCTCGAAAAAAGAATACCGCGAAGTACGCGGAATTCCGAGGCGCACGACGGCATATTTGAGTGTTTGTTTTAGATGCCGTAGTGTAATTAAATTTAGATAAAATTAGATAATACATTTTTAAGAGAGATAAAGTGAGACACTGAGCGTACAATAACGGTTCTCAGCTTTAGTTTTAGCAAGTAATTAATTCTGTGAACTTCGGCCATTTTTATGCAATTCACAAATGAAATTTATGTTGCTAATGTAGAATTAACCGGAATAGATTGCACGATAATAATTCTTGATGTATATTATAGCAAAATAATTATTATCTAATTAAGAACTAATTGGATTGAAATATGTATATACATATATAGATGCTTTCCTTGTACGAATATGTATATATAAATTGTAAGATTCCGGTCGCTGCAACGCGTGATACAGCCTTAACGTATTACCGTTTATGGAAACATATCTCAGCGGCGAAATGCTCGTGATGCTCGGCCGTATACTTTTTACAATGCAAGTACGTGTTTTATCGGTACCGCGGTAATATGGACGTAATCGTTAGGCATCGTTATGAAGTCGTGCGTTAAATCGTTGTGTTCGTACAACGGCCGTGCGCCGATCGCGTGCGATGAAAAACTCATTGTCCTTCGCATATAAGGTATGGGACATTATTATTCGTTCAAAGAGAAAATTTTATTTTTCGAGAACCTTTTCAAGATAATTCACGAAGGCGATTAAATTAAAAAGCGTATTTCTTTTTTTTTCGTAACGGTATTGTTGTTTGTATTGAATTGATGTAATTTATTAATTTATCAAGTTATTCTATGTGGCCGCAATATAAAATAAAACTCTCAGTGAATTAATATTTTTCAGAATGACACTTAGATTTTTACCAGAAAAATTATTATGCCACGATGATAAAGGCACGCCAAAGTTCTTCCATCATAATGTTATGAGTTAAAAAAAGGCTCCTAGTCAGATTATTTATGTAAACTATTCGCATAATTTCGGTGGGCGGAATGCGACTGCATTTGCGAGCAGTGATCCATGGCGTTTGCTAAATAATGCATGACGTCGTTTACCGCCATGTCTTGACGAAGACCATCATGGTAGGACGAGCGATGCGTGTTTCCGCGGTGCAACTTTTTGCAACTCCGATCGGCAAAACGAACGGTACATCGTTGAGCGCGCGATGCAAAAGACGATTTTCACCGGTTTCTCGTTTCCCCCATTTGGAGGAGAACGGTGGAAAAGCCACGTTTGGGTATTCGCTTCTACCTTAACGGTCTTAAACGAGTAAGTCTTCTAACACGAGCACTTCTCTATTCCGGTATAACCGGCAGAAACTGGCATTTTTACAGCCTATTATAACTTTTAGACTTATACCTAATTATAGCGAAAACAAGAATCGCTAATAATTTAGCAACAAGTTTTTTCTGTGCAAAACTTTCGTATTTTTCGCGTGTCTCTTCTTTTGGGAAATAAAGATGACTCTATAGCAAAATTATAAATTCAATATAGACAATAAAACCAAATATAAGATTCTCGTGCTTTGAGATTATTATTCTTCATTGAGAAAACGTTCCAATTATAATGATTAAACCTTAAATGAAATATTTGTCAAGTTAAAGTAAAACCCACTTTAAAATTAATTGGAATACAAGGCCTCTATTGCTCGTTCGTATCTCTAAAGCTTGATTCACCGAAACATTTTAATTGCCGGCAATAACTCAAGAAACTTGGCGTCGAGGCAACCGTTATTCTTCTCAGTTCGGCCTCTGTAAGGCTCCGCGAAAGGAAAGGCGTTTACAAAAGCCATTAGACGCGAAAGGATTAAATAAAGGCCACACCGACGACCACGCCCGAGCGTATGTCAAATTTGGCTCGTGCATTCGAGTGCCGCATGAATCGATCACGGTCTTTATCGTACGGTTGTCTTCACGGTGACGATCTCACCTCCCACTGCGGACTCCTCGAAAAAGGACACGAGTTATTTCTGGAGGATGATACCGTTCGTTACGAGCAAACATATCGCATGCTTCAGCAAATCCTTCCTTATGCTTTCGCCTAAGGATATGCTTTGTGACGCTACTGACGATTTGCTTCCGATATTAAGTTAAACGCAGCGATCGAGCGAAAAGTTCATATTTCTTTAAATGATAATTCAGATCACGGAAAAGAGTTATAAGAGGAAACTATTTTGAATAAAAATAATTCATTTAGAGCATCCAGTATATTAACTTCAAATTATAAAAGTATCAATAGTTATTTAAAAAAATTTTTTCTCTCACTTTTCTCTTACGACACGTTTACATAGAAAGTCAAGAGAATTTTTGCAACACGACAAAATCGATAATAAAACGATCATGTTTTCGCGCATCAAAAGCATGCTGAAAAGTCACGATCTAGCACGAGTTTCTTCCTGCCTATCGCACGGTGTTGTAATAATGATGCTAGTTGGTAGGAACGTAAGACAACGATTTAAATAATGAGCCTCTCATTATGGCAGAATTAGCCGCATCGTACCCGTAATACTTGCATAAGTTTTCCTTCGGGTGGATTTAAGAATTCGTATCATAGATACATAATCATAGACATAAAATTAATATGATTCTTTTTAAATTAATAATATATTTTTATGTAAGAGTGAAGAAACGAGTAAATTTCAAATAAAACAACTATGTAATTCATATATTAAGATTACTATTGTAATATAAAATGTATATTAGATCAAGGACTGAAAAATTATTGAAAGACTCGATTAATGTCTCGTAGACACTTGTGATACCATTATTTATCATATCGCAAAGTACAGAATTGTCCCGAATTAAAGAATGAGTATCCAGAAAACAATGAAGAGAATGCAGAGGTTTAGAATTCTTGAGACTTGCCAGAAATGCGGCGTCACGGTTCCCGTGTCTCGCCCAGAGGCTCTTCTCAGGCACCCACAAGAATCCAACCCCGAAGTAATTAGGGAGGTATCCGTTGAACGTTCTGAGAAAAAGCGATCCCTCTCGCGCGAAGCTGTCGGTGCGCGTTGCACGCACATCCAGGAAATCTGTGCGAAGAAGTGGAAGGAAAAGAGATGAAGCAGAAAATGCTACAAAGAAGAGAAACAAGAAGAAAGAGAAGGCAGGTCGGACTCCCTCCGATTTTTCCTGCTCCTTTTCGGCTAATTTTCGGCGACCCATAAGTCGAAAGATAGGACAAGAAGATACAAGTGAGTACGACGAGGAAGACTGAGTTCGATAAAAGCCGAGGAGGAAGAAGATGAGGAGGAAGAACGGGAAAGACAAGAGCGCGGGGTAGTCGATGGAGGACGAGGGAGGAAGAAGGACGAGAGGTGGAGGTCAGCGACCGGCAAGCAAAACTTGCTAGACCGTCGCGAAGCCTTACAGATGTGAAATAAAACCAGACGGTACCGTCATAGAGAGAACATAACAAGAGGGAGTACGTAGAGATACCTATTTAAATAAAGGGTACGAATTTGTGAAAAAAGAGCAAAGCAATGGTCATAGAGAGTAAATCGTGATTTTGGATAACAGTTCTTCCACGGTTTGTTCGTTATTCAAATGATTGACTCTATTGTATGAATTGATATATAGTAATTAGTATGTTTTGCTATACTTTTATTAATGTGCATCGAAATATCCGTGAAGATTATATCCTCGATCTAGGATTTCTAATTTGCGGTGCTTCTCGGTTGTCTGATTTAAGGTTTCAAACACGTTACCATAGACCGTAATTTCCTGCTGCCCCTTAGGCATCATTCCCCCAATGCTATTCTTTCCGTTCTGTTGTATTCTTATGCCCGTAGACACGTCGACCTATGCTGATCTTCGCGTGTTAGACAATAGCGTTTAGAACTATTTAGAGCCCGACCTCGTCTGAACTATGTCCGTTACGTTTTCACCTTGACGGGATGTCTCCATCGCAGTAGTTGTCAAAGACAAACACAACAAACCGGCAAGAAGAA